CCATGCATTGTGCCATTTACAATATTTTTTATCCTTAATTTGTTCAGGATCAGGCAATTTATGCTTGTCACTCAGTTTTATCTACTTATCCTTATATAATTTATCGAATATAAGGTCAGCTTTGGTCACATCAAATGAAAACATTCGAACTTTTTTATTTTCATCTTTGATAGACTCATTCTTACCCAACGCTCTAGCTTTAGCCATCATAGGACAAACATATACATCTCCTTTAATTAACGACCAAACATATTTCAGTTTGATCGTAATATTCGTTATTAATAGTATGAATGTCAAAATTTGGGTCTCTATAATAATTCTATTTACTAGAGTTTTTCATTTGTTCTTCTTCTCTTATCAATCGTTCATACCTAATCACATTCGCGCTAAGTTAGAAAAGATTAGGAAATTCTGTCCTGGAATTTCTTTTTCAAATCAAAACTTGAACAATTTTGAGCGATTTTGACGAATTCTTTCTCAGGCGGAGGTACAAAACATTTGCTCCTGGCTGTTTTAAACCTCTGAAGAAAACCTTCTGCCCATTCATTTGGCATTTGACGTAACCAAGGTGACGTAAACAATGACACTTTGTGTAAGTCGGCATAATAACAGGACGTACCCATGTACTATTTCAATAATTTGATTCTTCAACATGATATTGAGATCATATGGAACTCATATAGGTTGGTTCATTGGTTGATTTACTTGAGGTCTAATATTTGGTCATTGGTTGGCGGCAAAAGTGTCATTATTTAGGCCATTATTACCGTTAGCCTGAGTGTTTACTCCATCATTAACATGCGGGTATTCTATCCATTATTTAGGACATTATCTCTTATATTTGGGTTACCCCACAGGATTGACGTCCCATTACCATCATTCAAGTTTGGCACTGCACCACCCACTGGTTTGAAGTAGACGGACCGAAAGATGGTTCTATTCCTTGACTTGGGTTCAAACCTGGGAAATTATGTACCACAATCGTCCTGGTTTGAAAGTGATTNCATTTAACGTGTTTAGTTGTTTGGTCATGTTGTCATATTGTGCATTCCCATTTTGGGTAAATCTTTCCATATTGTGAATATTTCGCAGATTTACCTGTTCAACGACATCATGTGTGAGTTCCCCAAGCAATGCGCGCATGGTTCGAGGACTCAACTCTGTCATTGGCTCGTAGTAACTTTGACTGCTTTGACTCTATCCCTATGTTCGTGGAGAGCTTTGCTACTCCTCATATCACTCGATCACAGACTGTACTACTCCTTGGCTTGCTGGTTCTTTATCAGAATTCTTATGAGGCATAATATTTCACTTTTCGTATCCTCAAACACCAATTGTCTCACTGGACATGCCAAATTGTTTTGTGCGGGTTATCGCTAATAATTAAAAATAGATTCAGATGATTGTATAAAGAACAAACATCTTGAGACAAAGTCCCAAAAATGGGTACTTTATTTATGAAGATTACAATTGGGAAGAAATAAAACTCCTCCAAGGGGCACTAACACATGAAGTAAATTGAAAGTTTATACTTAGAAAATAAATGAATTGAAATTACATATTCTCTGTTGAAAGTGATTGATTCAGGGTCTCTCCTTCTATGTCTTCTTTTCCTTTTTATACTCATTCGCCGATTTTCTCTTGTAGAACTATTTGGAAACTGCTTGGTGCTCTATAACTACCCACTTTCTTCGTGATGGCTTACTTGTCAAGGAACTACGGTTCGGAACTGTTGTTATTGCTCTTGTTGTTTATTTGCTTGTAATCGAGATTCTTGAATCGTG